CGCGCGCCCAAAAGGAAAAACCCCCCAAAAAAAAAAAAAAAAAAAAAAAAAGAATTCTCATTAGGTTGAAGACATTCACATTATGTCTTAAGCCTGGTTTCTGCAGAACTTTAAACTCATATATCTAACTCCCAATGTTTTCACTTGTAAGCCTTGTGGGCATTATCTTACTTTCCAAGAGTGCTCATTCCACAGATTTCCCTAGCTTAGTAGATGAAATCTCATTCTTCATGACTCAGGTTCATAACTTTGGAATCATTCTTTATTCCTCTAATTCCTTTTCACTGTACATTCAATCCGTTGGGAATTTCTATCTATACTACATTTAACATATTTCTAGAGTCTTATCAACTCTTTTCACCTTTTCCATTATACCTATTTCTTGAAACATTGTTATACCCTGGTCAGGGTAATTTTTTTTTCCCATCTTATTTCCTAATTCTCTGAGAGAATTAAAGAAAACTTTTAAGAGAAAAACTGTACCTTCCATTGGACTAGAAAGACTCCCTGAGGTGACGTTTGAAAGCACATTTGTCACATATACCACCCTGCTCTTGCATCAACCTTTATTTCCTATGGAGGTGTTAGCTAAGAATGCCTTTGTCACACACCATAGCCTTTTTATGATTGACTTTTGACACCTACCTATTATGCCTCTGAAGAAAGAGCAAAAGACCAATAATTAAGAGAGCTACATTTTAATGTGATGTTTCCCTTACTGATAGTAACTTGACTCACTTCTCTCAACATTTGTCCACCAATAAATGGCCACAATAATTCTTCTTTACAGGATTTTTAATAAATTTTAAATGACAATATGAGTACTATCACATTACAGTAAGCAAAGCTTTTTGTTTCTACTAATTCATTTAAGATTCACAAAAACCCATAGAGTATGATTATTCTCATTTCTGAGATGAAAAAACTATCTCAGGAAGACCAATGACATCTTTTAAGATACTGAAATAGGATCTTGTTAACCTTACATACAAATATGGCTAGACTTTAAAGAGACAATAAACTTTAAATATATTTAAAATCGTAATATGTATTTTAATTATGAGTTGTCCTTATTTTCATTGATAATTTTTCTCCTAAAGCCCTCCTCTTAGCACCTGACAACATCTGTAGTCCCAAAGCTCATAACAATTATGTAGAGTCCAATTCAATCAATGCTTGACAATGTACTAAGCTCTTTATCACTATCTCATACATTTTCTCTTTGTGTTTCCCAAACCCTGACAATGGAACACTTACTTGATAGGATGATCCTTGTTTGTTTCACTTCACCTGTTAAAGGGTTGTGAATGTAGCAAGTAATATTGCCCTGGGAATTGTTTGTGAGGACAACAGTCATCTTCATGTGGAAGAACCTGGCTCCATCCTGTGAGGGCAATTTTGATGAATGTGGAACCACCTCTCCCCTGTCATCTCTCCACTCCATTTGGGGCTGAGGGAACCACCCTCCAGAGTGACACTCCACCATGCATGCATCAGAGAAAAGGGGCTCAACATAGATCTGTGTTTCCAGGCCAACTGCTGGTAGACACAAGATAGAACAAAGTTATTAGAAGCCAAAAAAATTGTCAGCAGTAACACATCATAACTCTGTGAGGCTGACCTACATGGTGTTCCTGATTTCCATCTGGTAACATCCCAGAGGATGCATGTGCCCATGATTCAGGGCTATCGGAGGCTGGGAGTGAATTGCAGCTTCAGAACCCATTGGGGGTGCTGTCCCTCTCTTTTTCTCTCTCTCTCAGAAAATAAATAAAAATTTTAAGAGATGGTTATTGTAGTGAAACTTGGCTTTAAAATTTTGGGGAAAAGCCTCAGTAATCTTGTGTGCTATCATCTAAAAAGAAGTAATTAGCGGGGCCAGCAGTTAGCGTAATGGCTATGTCGCTGGACTCCCACATAGTCCACCATGGTTCGAGTACTGGACCCAGTGGCTTAAACTCACACTGGGCGCTCGTTTGTGCGTGCCCAAGATCCCGAGAGGAGAATAGAGGAGAAGGGATTGCGGCGTGGCCATCCCCCCTGGGGGGTGATTTCCTGCTTTCTGTCTCTTTGTCTCTCTCTGTCTGGCAAGCGCACGCACCCTATAGCAAAATCCTCTCCAAAAGGAGTAATTAGCCTTTTGCTTCGTTGCCCCACTGAAAGCAAGATAGGTCATCAGCAGCTCTACTGGAGCCACCTACAAAAATTTGGCCAAGGCTCTCGCTCTTGCTACGTGTGCTTGAACCGGAAGGGTCTGATCCGGAAATACAGCCTCAACGTATGCCGTCAGTTTTTCCGTCAGTGCATGAAGGACATAGGCTTCATCAAGTTGGACTAAATTATCTTCCTTGAATGGATTGTCCAAGATATCCACCCAGTGAAAAAAATCATGCTGGCTATTTGTATATAAAATAAAATAAATTTAAAAACTAATAAAGGAGTAATTAATTGGTCTCTCTTTTTAAATTATAAAAAGGAGAAGAGTTAAAATAGAAACATTGGGGCAATTGCCAAATATTTCAGTGTATAGGGTTGCAAGGACATTGGTATATGATGTTCCACAATCACGCTTACCTGCCACACTCAGGTTCATGCTAGATGCTTCACTGAAGCCACCATCTTTAAATAAACACTGGTATGGTCCATCATCAGAAATGCTGATATTATGAATTCTGAGGGTCACTTTGCCCTCCCTAATGGCCTCCTTCACAAACTCTGTGCGGTGCACATATTCTGGGGCAATTTCTCCTTTCATATCATGGCCATCTCTGTATAGGTAAATGGGTTTGGAGTGGTCACTTCTGAACCAGCGCACCTCCATGTGCTCTGCATCCTGTGGCGGAAACAACTGGCAGCTGAGCTCAGCCTGTCCTCCTACCATAGCCACTAAGTGTCCTGTGGAAATAGTCACCATAAAATGCTCTGAAGAGGAAGACAGAAAAACAAGGTAAGTCTGAGGCCAACAACTCTATGGCTGGATATTGCTTGAAAAGACACACCAAATTCTGTTCAAGTTGTCTATTCTCAATTTTCATATCTGATCATCCCCCCCTTCTGCTGAAATAAGTATTATGTATTTTTAGAAGATCAGTGCATCTACATTCTTCTATTCACAATATATTTATTTGTAGGGCATGGGGAAGTAACAGAATAAGAAGCACCAATAATCTAAATGACAGTTGCGCTAGGAGAATCTGCCTGATGTAATTATTTTAGGACTGTGGAGTCTATGGAAAATTCTCCAGGGGTAAAGCATTGATGGTCATTTCTATTCTATTACAGGCAATTTCTGTTTTTAGCAGAGAAAAATCTACCCACTTCTTACCTCCAGCCCCCTGGTAGGCAGCTTGCACATGGCTTGTGGATACAGGGTGGACCAAAAGGGCTCTGTCTTCCAATTGTCATAGTTCTGTGATCCCTTCACTGATTGCTGCCTCCAACCACAGAGGTAGAGACGAAGAAGCAGCAACCATTGTTGCAAGCCTCTTACTCTCCAGCTGAGGTGGCATCCAAGGGATTAAAAAGGCCAACACCTAACCTGGCCCCCTTCATCCTCTCCTTTTTTTCCATTTGAGCTAGACATTAACTAGGACATTTTAAAACAGCTGCATATATGGAGAAAATGAGAAAGCTAATGTATATGTCCAGGGAAAAATACAGGCTCAGAGGACCTGAGAATTTAAGTTTTCCTATCCTAATACTAGTTTCCTCAGAAGTTTATTCTTATAAATTTCTGCTCTGGTAAGTTATGATGCTCTCAGTCAACCTGTCTGTGTCTCTTATTTGGGGGGCAGCAGTTTCTCCTGAGATTTCACATCTCTCCTCTAAGAAGAGTTGAGTTTTAGTTCTTTTCAGCTTTTTCTTGATGTTAAGATAGAGATGATTGCTAAGCTTGTCATACACTGGTCTGAATACTGGAAGTCTACCGAGTTCCTTCTACAGCTGTGACTGTGTAAGAGAAAATGTTCTTACCTGAAGTTAATGTTATCACCTGTAGGAGAATAAAACCCACATATGTCCCAGAAAAAGAAGAGAATTTAAGATTCATCATGCCTGGAAAAGAGACAAGAAGGAAATCATAGGCTATGAGACATGGAATAGGGATTGTCTACATACACAAAATTAAACTAAAATTATTAAAAGGGACAACTTTAAGAGTCTTTCAGAGACTAAATCCTTTCTTTGTTCAATGGAATGACTATACTCCACCACTAGCACACATGATTCTCATGAGAAGCTTTCTCAATCCTTCTGTTCTACTAGGTCACTCTCTGCTGTTTCTTCCACATCATGAACAAACCTACTAAATGAATTGCCTTGTCCAATAAATGGGACAAACGATAAATAAAAAATATTCTAGGTGAGAAGTCAGTAGGTGGTGTGGCTGTTAAAGTGCTAATTCCCACATAGCCAACCACAGAGCAAGTCTCTCACTTTCCTTCTCTCTGTCACTCTTTCTCTCTCATGAGCGCATGTGCCCTATCACAAAATCCTCAAAAAAAAAAAAAAAAAAAGATAAGAAAGAAAGAAAAATTCTAAGTCAATAAATGGTGGAAAGATACAAAAAAGAGCACATGTGCCTCTATTCCTGCCTGCGTCTCCTTACAAAGCTACCAGAAGTCATCAAGAAGACCCTATCCTGATGACCTCATCCAATCCTAATCAAGTCCCAAAGACTCCACATTTCAAAACCGTAATAAGACTAAGTCTCCACCCTCTCGACACTGTTACAATGCCTCACCATATTTCAATACTTGAATTTTAGGACTACATTCACACCATAGCCATATAGGAAGGTGAAGAAATTTTCTGTTTGTTTTTGATTAATGTGCTTAACCAAATAAGATGAGATCAAATTTTGGGACTAAAATAGCTTGTAAGCAATTTTATATATTATTTATAAAAATTGAAATGCTACTGAACTATTTTAATTAGTAAATTTTAATAATCAGATTTGCACTCTAAAAATGTGAGAGTATTTTCCCAGTTGCTTCTGAGTCATAGCTAAAAAAAGTGACTCTATATTTTTCCATCAGAATAAATTGGATAAATTACAAGATAATGACTTTTTTAAACTTGTAACAGAGCTAATATCAAAGGCAAACAACTAACCTGAAATTCAGAAAGACAAGTAACTGCAAAAATAAACATGACATAAGATTTTATAACTTCGGGAACACACAGAAGGATGCTACATCACATGTAGTAAGGTTCATCTGGAATCTTTAGACGAGTTGCTAAAGGGTGCATACATGTTATTGCATAAACGTAAAAAAACCTTAGAGACAGCAGATAGAAGAAAATGGAGGGTAAGCAGTAATGGTGGTTAAAGTAAAACTGGATCTCACACGGTCGACTATGCATTTTGAGTCTCAAATTCAGTGGCTTGAGAAACATGTTGGAGATTTATGCTCACATGCCTGAAATTCTGACAAGAAGGAGAAATAGAAGAGAGGGGATTGAGGTGTGACCACTCCTCCACTAGAGGATGTTTTCCATGTCTTTCTGCCTCTCTCTGACAAGCAGACATGCCTTCTGACAGAAAAATAAAAAGGAAAAAAGAGAGAGACTGGGGGGAGCGGCACAATTTCTGGAACTCAGGGCAGATTGGACCAGTTTTTAATTCTTTGGACCAACAATTCAATACTGAAATCTGGAGGCAGATTCTCTTTTGAAGACTTTTAAATTCTAAATTTGCAGATACCATTATTCTGTAAAGAAAAGGTTAGCAAGACATTAGAAATTAGAACTAAAGTTCCCCTAAGTTAAGGCATAAGGATAAAGGAAAGAACCTTGTTTCTATCACAATGTGATCACTTACTTGAGCTCCAGACTCCAGAGAAAATTTCTTTCCCAGGCTTTCAAAAAGTTGACTCAATCTTGAAGATGGTTCAGTGGGGCTCCTTCACTAGCAATAACACACTAGTGACAATAAAAGTGTGTCCTCTGTTTACAGAGCTTTCACCTAGTGCCTGAAAACTGAATTCTTTTTCCTGCCAACCTGAAATTAATATCCCTTTATAGGATCTGTTTTACACACATTTAACATCCCAAAGGCTTCAATACACTTGGAGGTCATCCTGAGTTGCCCAACAGGTTTTCACGTTGTGTATGCAAAAGACACGTTCCCACATGCTGGATATAATACCTGAGCCAAGATATCTACTCATGTATTTTCCCCTGGTATTTTTTGTAAGATATCTTGAGACTGCTGGGAAGGACTTCAGGGGAATTCTTGCTCCTACTAAGTATATGCTGAGAAAGGTACTCTTATAAACACAATTCAAAGTTTTAGTCATCCAACCTTACTGAATGGTACCTTTTTTATCTTCCTATTCTAGTTCAATTTTCTTCCTAAAAGCTATACTATATTTAATTTAGAGAAGGACACAGGATAAGCACTTAGAAAATAATTTTCAAAACTTTTTATTAACCAAACAATGGAACATTTAAATTAAGTGGTACCTGATTGAAGCTTAGGCAGCACCTCATTAAAAAAATGACCTGATCTATAGGAAACTTCTAATGATCATATTCTAAAAAGGGTCATGAACATAGCCCAGTAGTACCACAAACACAGGTACAAAATTAAGCTTATGAGGGTATAACCTACAAGATGAGTAGAAGATCATAGACAAATCTCAAATTATTATCTCATCGAAAGCTGTGTTTATCCCATGTACAGTTAGACTGCAGGTGTCATGGCCAATGTTTTGCAGAGGATCCCCCTACTGTTATAAGGCTCTACTTATTTAAAAGATCAGAAGTAAGAAACATTTACATAATTATAAATCAAAGGTGTCTCTAGTGTCAAGAAAGTGGCTGGTCTTAGCTTGTTCTTCTGTTGAGCTAACCCAGACCTACTGAACCATGTCTCTGCTGAGCTACTGAGAAGTTGAAAACCAGGGTTTTGTCTTTTTTTTTCTCTTCTCATCATACCCCTGACACTCAAAAGATCAGTAAATATTTCTTTCCATTATAAATCACTGCCTGCAGGAATAATGGAAAGCTATTTTGGTGCAGTTCTCTACATCTATAATATACAAAAATAATTATCCACCCCATGCTCCAAGATTCTATCCACATTCTAGTTTGTTTTTTTGTTTGTTTGTTTGAGAGGTTTTTGCTATAGGGAGCATGCACTTGCCAGGAAGACAGAGAGACAGAAAGCAAGAAGTCACCCCCCAAGGGGGATGGCCACACCACAATCTCTTCTCCTCCATTCTCCTCTCGGGATCTTGGGCACACACGCTCAGTGCCCAGTGTGAGTTTAAGACACCAGGTCCAGGACTCAAACCTCAGTTAACAACATGAGAGTCCAGCGATGTAGCCATTACATCATTTGCTGGTCCCTCCACATTCTAGTACTTAAGGCTGACCAATAGAGTTCTGTCACCTACCACACTGGAAATTAGCAGGGTTCTCTATTTTTTGACTAGAGTGATGAGATTCATAGGATCCAAACTTGTTCATCCATATAAAATTTAAATTTTACTTAACAATTGATACTTCACCCTCCTGACCCCCAAAACTAGTGAGGACAGGCCAATCACAAACCATCTACATCTGAGCTCTTAGCAGCCCCTGTCAGGGACTAGAATAACTGAAGATTTTTTACCCAGACTTCACCCTCCTGACCCCAAGGTCTAGCCAGGGTCAGATTAATTCTCAATTCCCATGGAATCTGCTGTACAAAGGGAGAAAAAAATGGTACTACTGAGAGATTGCAGATCATCTCCTCCTGCATGCCTCTGAATGCTTAGATTTAACTCCAAAAATTAGGAAAAAACACATAATTCATCAGGTGACCAGAAACCATTGCAAAGGCACAAGAAATATGAGAAGTCAAAATATCTCTCCCTCAAGGGAAAAGAATAAGTCCTCAGACAATAAAATGGAGCTCGTGGAAATGTCAGATAAAGACTTTAGAATATTTATAGTGACAAAACTAACAGAGATGCAAGAGAAGAGAGGCAATGAACTCCAGAAGATGCAGGAAAAAAGAGACAAAGAGTTCCAGAGGGTGAGGAATTCTTGCACAATCTGAAAGAGGAAATACACATCATAAAAAAGAATAAAATGGTATTGTTAGAGATGAAGGCTATAATACAGGAAATCAAAATCTCACTTGAAAGTATTAAAAGCAGATTAGATCATGCAGAAGATCAAATCACAGATGTAGAAGACAGAAACTTTGACCTAGAAAAATTAACCAAAATGATGAGAAAATAATTTTAAAGAATGAGTATGATATACGAGTAATACTAGATATCATTAAATGTCCAAACATCTGGATAGTAGGTATCCCAGATGGTGAAGAAACTAATCAAGGAATTGATAATCTATTTCATAAAACCCTTGAAGAAAACTTTCCAAACCCTTCAGAACTTCTTGGAGATCTGGTCTGGTGTTGGTAAATTCTTTCAGGGTTTATTTACCTGAGAATGTTCTTGTCTTTTCTTCCCATGTGAAAAATCATCTTTCTAGGTACAATATTCTTGGTTGAAATTGCTTGTCCTTTAACACTTTGAATACATTTCACCATTCTTTCCTTGCTTGAATTATTTCAGATGAGAGGTCCACTCAGCCTGATGGGATATTCTTTGTAGGTAACTTGTCATTTCTCTCTTGCCAATCTTAGCAACTTGTCTTTGTCTGTGATTTTGGACAATCTGGCTATCATGCATCTTGGAGAAGATCTTCTATTTGGGGGTCCTTTATATTTCTTGGGACTGAATCTTTGAATGCCTCCCTGGATTTGGAAAGTTTTCTTCTAAGATTTCGTGGAATAGATTATTAATGCCTGTATGAGTCTCTTCATTTTCTGGGATACCAATTATCCAGATGTTTGGATGTTTGATGATATCTACTATTTTTCATTCATTATTCTCATTTTTTTTGGACAATTTTCTCAGTCTTTATGGTGGATTTTTCTAGGCCAGCGATTTTATCTTCTACATCTGAGATTCAATTTTCTGTCTGCTTTTAATACTTTCAAGGGAAGTTTTGACTGCTTGTATTATAGCCTTCATCTCCAACAGGTCAATTTGA